CCCTTTGTTGAAACCAAATCGCACATTTATGAACACACTGGACCACTTCCGTCTGCTGACCCAATGGCACCCACCATTTTCCAGGAGGGCTCAAAGCACCTCCCTCATCACACGTGTTGCTGTCTTGAACGGGTTCAGCATTTCCCTGCAGAACATCTCAGCGAGAGCAGGAAACTGTATCCCCAGCCTGTGTGCAACTATTATATATTTAGCACAATTGAGAAGAGCTCATCTCTTGGACTCAGATAGCACCTGTCATAAGTTGGCTAAGAAAAGCAGTTCAAAGCAAGCTGGCCTGCGGGCACAAATACCTCTTCCATGAACCACGGTTGATTTTTAAATGAGTTTTGAAAACAAATGGAAGCAAAATCACAATGCAGAGAGAGACACGTCTTGTACACTTAAAAAAAAAAAAAAACACTTTCGGGATTTAATTGACAATCTCCTTCGTACCCCCTCACACTTTTCAAACAGCAAACTTATTTTTAAATTATAGAAAGCTCTGGAACCGTAAACATGTCCTCCTCGTTACAGAAAGCTAGCTACGCAACATGTGCATCCAGAAAACTCCTGAAGTCCCGTCTTTCTTTCAACTCAAAAGGTGCCACGTAGCATACACACACACACACACACACACACACACACACACTTAAGACTCCCAAGGTTTTGGCGAAAGGAAACCATTTAATCACCGCTGCTATAATCAGTGTTCCTGGTCAAGATGGCCAAATGTCCCCTGGGCATCATGGCAACCACAACTCCCCAATACGGGGAAAACACTGACAAGGCAAACACAGTGCAGCACCGAGTTTGGGAAGATCAGCCTCAGCCACCCCAGGGCACTTCACGTCTTAGCTCCACAGGAGTATCTTTCAAGAGACTGTAACATGCTGCCTGCCGAAGTATGGAAATGGTGCATGGTGGAGATGAAAAAAAAAAAATCCGCATTTTCAAGTGCAGAAGAATACATAAAATGCCAAGGGCAAAGCTAAAGTCCTCTTCCTTTGTAGGCACATGCACTGCCTCACAATCACACAGGTCAGCTTTCATACACTAGGTGCCCAATCAGTGTTGGCGGGATTCAGTTGCTTCTTAGAGCACATTCTTACAAAACAAACGAAACCAGATTAAAAAGGAAACCACGTCCCCTGAGGGCTCCCCTTGGCAACAAGCTAAGGCAACAAGTGAAAATGATACAGTTGATTCTCATTATTGGCCTGATCTTGCAACAATAGGAAGGGCAGGCAACATTTTTATTAGCAAACCAGGCCTCAGACAAAGACAGGAAACAAATACAAACCATTATTCTCTAGGTCTTTTCCTATTGAACGGCCAACAAGGTAATGTTGGATAAAAGACAATTTAACTACAGAAATGCCTTTGATGGACTTTCAAATCTTTTGTTCTGTAAGAAATTTTAATTCTCTTAAACAAAAGTCATCCTGTGCCCAAAACAACTATTGCATCCTACAAAGAGTCTTTCTGCTCAGATTTTGGAGCTGTTTAAGAAATAAAATAAGCAAAAAAGAAGCAACACTGGACTGAAATGAACAGCTCGCCCTCAGCCTTCCCTACCACGCGTGGCTAACAGGACATATCAGAACAGAGCGGAAATGCTCCTTACACGGCGCGTGACTTCTCTGTTGGAAAACACCCGTAATAAAATCGAAGACACAGCCTTGCAGACTGAGCTTCTAAACATCTCAGAGTCAGTGGAGGGCTCAGCTGTCAAAACCCACTCTCCCTGGCACGTGCTCGTTAAGGCACCAGGCCCTGACACATCCTTAACCAAAATTACTGAGCACCACGGCTTTGCTCCCCACGTCCCCTATGGCACAGAATCCCCACTACTGCAGCTTCAGTGACCACTTGCTGTACTGAAATCCACACACCTGAGAACTCCCGAGTGGAAGACAAAGACACAGGATGAATTTCCTGAATATATTTAATCTATTTATGTCTCAGTGCACTCTTTTCAACCTTAACATTTTTTTAAAAAAGGACAGATTTATTGAGATAGAATTCTATTACCATAAAGATCGCTGAGTTAATGTGCACAATTCAACGGTTTTTGGTATACTCTGAGTTGTGCAACCATCACCCCCAAAAAAAAACCTTGGACCCACCAGCAGTCGCCCCGATGGCCCCGGCAACCACTCATCCACTTCCTCCACAGATCTGCTTGCTCTGGACATTTCATACAAGTGGGATCGCACAACAGGTGATCTTGGTGACAGACCTCTCTTGCTTCACGCCGTGTCTAAGGTAATCTAATCAACCTTACTGAGTTTCTGAGAGTGGGGCTTTTCTAATCCCTTCGGACAGATCAGGCACATGCCCTCTGAAACTCCAAATCCCAGCCACACACCAGCCCTCTACAAAAACACCTTTTACCTGCTATTGCCCTCCAAAGGGTGGGAACTAGAGTTTGCTAACTGGGCTCTTTCAAAACTTCTTATTCTGGGTTGTCCTTTGAAACAGTGACCTGTCACAAATGGACACTTGTCTAACAACAGGATATTCCTGTGCCGGGGGCAAAAAGATGACAATCCTTCCACGGAGATGGCCAAGGCAACTTTAAGGTGCATGTTGGCTGTTTTAAAAAAACAGTCATCGGAACGTTTAGGTGCCACGTATAACTTCCAAACCTCCTTTATCTCCTTTATTTAAATGCCCTGCTCCTATGATAGTGAGACAAACATGCCCACATCTTTCTCCCCCCACAAAAAAAAAAAAAAAAAAACTCAAAATTTTCTAAAACTCTCTCCCTAGAGTTGTCATGCTCAAAGAAGAAACGCTAAAAAACTCAGTGTGCTGGCAGGGCACCTGGAACCGAACCAACCCCTATAACGGCGCTCACAGCCGCCCCCAGAACACCCTTCCCGGCTAGGACCCGGCTGGCTTCTCTCTCCCGTGGTCCGGAGCCTTTCGGGTTTTAAAAAAACTGAACTCATTTTCTTGTAGCCCTCAAAACTGCAGCAAGCGGGTGGGGCCGGCACTGAGCTGGACTTGAGCAAACCTCAGGAGGATCAGGGCGCCTCCTGGCCATCGTCGGGTTCTAAGGAACTCACAACCTCAGAGACCCCCGGGGAAGAGGGGTCCGTCTTGGCATCGCGGTTTTAAAAACCTACATCGACAGACTTTCTGCCTCCCCTTTGTGTTCTCAAGAAAAAGCGCCCTGGCCAAAAACCACTCCCCGCGAGAAGGGCTCCGAGTCCTGGCCAGAAGCAAGGCCACGCTGCAGTTCTAGATTTCAGAACTCACTAACAGTCAGTAAGAAAGGGAGAGCAAACAGCACGGTGCGACACCACGCCGCCACAAAATGGATTCGCTCTCTGGGGTCCTCCACGCTGCACTCGGCTGTCTGCAGAGCCCCCCCCCCCCCGCCCAGTCCCCCAAACACCACCCCCGCGCCTCAGGAGGGGGCAGCAGGAACCCGTCCGTCCAATCCCGCGCGCTCAAAGTTTGGAAAACAAAGAGCAGGAGAGCCCGGGTCTGCGCCTCCCTCCACGCAGTAAACACGCTAATTCCGTAAGGATCTGCGCCTCCCCGCATCACGCGCTCGCCGCCGATGAGACGTCTAAGTGGGGCTTGCTGATGGAAACGGCTTCTCCGAACCTCCCCGTGATGGGCCAGGCGGCCCCCCGCCCCGCTCAGTCGTGATTTTTCAGTTAATAGGCACCACCTGCATACCCGCGGCAACCATTACTCACCAACGCCCTCGCCGTTTCCAGCCCCAGCCCCGCGACTGCTTTTCAACCTTCCTGCGCGTTCGCCTTATCCTACCATCCCTGAAGTCCCCAGGAGCCACCTCGGATCCTTCCGAGAATAACCGCGCCGCCCCGGCCCTGCCTGCACACTCCGTGGGTGCGCTCGCTCCCCGCACCCCCGACGCCTCCAAAACAAAAGCCATCAGATGGCAAGCGACAGCGCGCGTGGGGCGACACCGCTTATTAACTGCACAAAGGAAGCGCGGGGCGGTCGAGGCGGTGCCACGCAACACTGGTCGCAGCCAAACGCGTGCCAGGGCTCCGCGCTCGCACGCAAACCCCCGCCGCAGGTCCCGCGCTCCGTCAACCTCCGCGCGCCACGCGCGCAGCGGGGCCCGGGTTGGGAGTCCGCGGCGACAGCGAGCGAGCACGTGTGTGGAAACGCACGTCGGCTCCGGCCACACACGCGCTCCCGCACTCCCGGGCGCTGCCCGATCACAGGCCCCCCTCCCTCCCCGCAATCCCCGGGGCGGCAAAGGCGCCCTCGGGCCAGACAGAATCTGGAGACGGTCCTGGGGCCCCACACGCGCTCCCGGAAGGACTAGGCTGACGGAGGCCCCGGGCCTAGCACTCGCCCAGGGGCCGCCCGAGGGGCGCTCCAGCATCTCCGGGACGCCAGGGGCGGGGGACGGGCCAAAGGAACGCAGCGCGCCCCGAGCCCGAAGTCGCCCGAGGGGCAAAGGCACACTAGGCGGCTGGAGGCCGCGCCTGGATGTTTGCCAAAGTGTCCGGCGGCTGCGGGGCGGCTGCGCGGGACACGACGCCCTCGAGGGCAACTCGCGATGGCGGGCCGAGGGCTCCCCGCTCCCAGCACCCTGGCGGCCCCAGAGGCAGGCGTGGCGCGGCCTCAGTACCGTGCGGGCCGTCTGCGCGCCCGCGGGAGTCGCCGTCCCGTGCGGGGCGAGAGCAGGGCGTCGGGCCCCAACTTCCCTGCGGAGTCCCCGAGCCCGGGCGGGCCCCTGCCGCCCGGAGTGAGCACGGCCCACCCACCTGGCCTCCGGGCTGGGCTCTTGGGACTACGAACTAGAAAGCCCCGCAGCCCCTGCCCGCGCGGGATGCGCCCGGTGGGCTCCACACCCAAAGGCTTCGGGCCCGGGTCCGCCCTCCGCCCCGCGCGCCCGAGCCGGGGGCCCGACAGCTGCGACGGTGGCAACTCCGGTTTCGCAAACAGGGCGCAGGCCCTCGGAGAAAAGTTCCCGCAGTGGCCGCGGGCGGCGGGCGCATACTCACTTTCTCCACTCGTCGGCCAGACCGAGAGCGCGGCGGAGAGAAACAGGAGCCCCCACGCCGAGGTCCGGGACCCTCCTCCGGAGCCAGACTTCATTCCTTTGATTTGGAACGAAAGTCCCCTTTCTCAAAAAAAAAAGGGGGGGGGGTTCAAAAGCAGTCTTCGCTCCAAAGCCAAGAGCGAAGGAAGAACGGTCCGAAGGCAGCGCAGACGGGGCGGGAGACCCCTCGGCGTCAGCAGCCGCAGCCCAGGACTCGGCAGAGTGGGGAACCCAAGGCGCTCTGGGGAGGGCTGTCGGCGTCGTCGGCCTCCATTTTCAAATCCAGAGAGGCAAGAGGTGTGTGTGGGGGTCACTGCCCAGAAAAGAGGCAAAGCCCGAGTGCGTCCAGGAGAGGAAAAACAAGCCCGACCCCCGAGAAGGGGAGGTGGCTCCGCGCCTGGGGCCCCGCGAGGGAGGGCGCGTCGCGGTGCCAAGCTCGCTCCCAAGTCGCGGTGGCGGGGGAGGCCGGCGAGGGGCGCAAATGCGGAGTAAAAATGAATGAGCGGCTCCCCCCCCCCCTCCTCCTCCCGCTCGGGCTGCGCTCACCGCGCCGCCGCCCTCAGCGCAGCCGCCGCCGCGAGCTCCTTCCCAAATCCAGGACGCACACAAAGCGGCGGGCCGGCCGCGCCGCGCTCCGCTCCCCGCAGCCGCCCGGGCTCCGCGCGCGGGGGCTCCGGCTCGCTGAAGGTCAAGGCCGCGACGCCCGCGGGGCTGCCCCGCGCGCGAGGGGCGTGGAGGGCCGGGGTCCCGGGGAGCCGGCCGCGAGCAGGCTCGCCGGCGGCGTCCCCGTCGCTCGCTCGCCCGTCTCGAGTTCACCGGGTGCGCTCCCTCCTCCTCGGGCTTTTTCCCTTTTTTTTCCGCTCAGCGGAGTTAACGCTGGTAAACAAGAACCCCAGCCTCGCCGCGCCGCCGCCGCCGCCGCCGCCACACACTGGGGGCTCGCGCGCGCCTCGGGGCCGCGCACACGTGCCCGCGCGCACCCCCGAGCGGCCGCCGCCGCAGCCGCGCCGCGCCAAGGGCCGGGCCCAGGCCGGCGCGCGCCAAGAGCCGGAGTCCGGGATCCCCGGGACGTGCGGAGCGGAGCCCGGGCGTGGGGCGCGAGGCTGCAAGGCACCGCCCCTGCCGCGCCCCCGCCCGCGCCGGCTCCCTCGCGCACTCAGGCGCGCGCCCGCCCCCACCCGCACTGCGCTGGCCGCCCCGCACGCGCCTCCCTCCCGCAGGACTCCAAAAACAATGCCCCCGGCGCCCGTGCGGGGCCCGCGGAGGGGTCGGGCGGGGCCGGACTGGGGAGGGTTTCGCGGAGCCCGGCGGGGTTCGTGGAAAAACAACGGCGCGGCTGGAGAGCGCGCCCCCCGGTTCTTGAAAAGCCTCATTGTTCCGTGCAGCTGTTGCAAAATAAATAAATAAGTGCGTGCATGCGGCATTTTTTCGCAGCATGCCGGGGGGCCCCGCGCGCGACGGGAGGGGCACACCTGGGAGCCAGGGGAGCCACTGGGCTCTGACACCCCGCACTTGCCACGCACGGCGGCGGCGCCCACAGCGTCGCGCAGGAAAGCCCGGAGCTCCGGGGCGCGGCTCGCGAGGCTCAGCCTAGGGCACGGGGTGGTGGAGGGTGGACACTGCCCGCTGCGGGCCGAAGACCCCGAGCCCTGGAAAGGGGGGTCCAGCTTGGCAGCCCCGCGTGCCCAGAACGCGTGGCCGCGGCGGCCGCCAGAGGGCGCGGCGGGCGCCAGGCAGGGACAGCCCGCGCGCTGCTGCCTCCCTCCCTTCGGGGGAGGAAACGCGGGGGCCCGGGCTGGGGGCCGGCCGCGCGGGGTCGCCCTGGCGGGGGCCTCCCCGACCCGCGGCGCGCCTGGAGCGCGCCCCCCAGGCCTCGCGCGGCTTGAGCTCCACCACGTGGGCGGCTGCGGGGAGCGGCAGTGGTGCGTGCACGGTGCGGGGCTGCGGGACCCGGAGTGGGGGGGCGTGTCCGAGGGGCCCAGAGGAGCGCAGAGGGGGGCGTCGACCCGGGTCCCGCCGCTCGGGATCGGAGCCACTGCAGAGACGCACCCGCACCTGCCTCGGGGACCCCGGGCGCGTCCCCCTTTGCTTGGTTCTCTCCACGTAAGTGACTGGAAGCCTGCACCGGCGCGGGTCTCCCCGGCGGGCTGCTGGAATGTCCCTGAGCAGCAGGCGCTGAGGCTCCAGTGTTTGCGGGGACCCCGCGCCCGCAGGGGGCCCGGCCGGGCGGCGGAGGCGGACTGCGGCACTGCACGGACGCGGACTTGCGAGGGCGGGGGCGGGTCCCGCGCCGCGCCCCGTGCGGTCCGGCTGACCGAGGTCGCGGGCAAACGCGCGGGTGGCGGGTGCGTGGAGCGAGCAGACCCGCGGGGCTCCCCGGCTGCCGGGCCGCGGCGGGGGTTTGCGTGCGAGCGCGGAGCCCTGGGAGTCCGCAGCGGCGTGCGCGTCCCGCCGTTCGTTGATCGCGTTTTCCCCGCGCTTCCTTTGTGCAGTTAAAAGCTAACCTGGTGAAAGCCCACCATCCCCACCACCACCCTTTTTTTTTTTTTTTTCCTGTGTCCATTTCCTAGAGCATTCTTCCCCTTGGAATTGTGTAGCTCGGTTCGGTGAGTTACAGAGAAAAAATAAATAACTAAACCTCTTTCTGTTCGACAGTTTTTCATACTAGATTGGTTTTGTTGAACTGAAATGCAGCTTAATGTTTAAATGCAGATGCCCCTGGACCTTAACCAAGAAGGAAATTGATTCGGTCTCAGCTCTAACCTGTCCCTTTAAAGACTGGACCCACACGTGAGTGTGGATAATTCCGTGTCCTCACTTTGAATTCTTCAGACGGAACTGCCTGAGGTCCCTCTGCCCACCTGGAACCCACCCTGGAGCTGATGCCGAATACTGAGTGTATCGGGATTATATCTCATTGCGTTTGGTGTGCAGAAGGTCTTAGCCCACTTGTAAATCAGGACAAGACTGAGAGCTAGTTTTTCAAAGGCTAATGCTAACGTAAAATCTCTAAACCCTACCTGAAACGTTTCGGCATTAATAAAACTGGCCATTCAGGTGCCTCAGACCATAGTTACTCCCAGGGGTTGTAGGTCCCCCCCCCACTCCACCCCCGCCTTTAACAAATAATGCTGCTTCATTTGTAAAAGTTTTAAGTGTTTGTGGTTTTAAAAGTATTGTGAAATCAGCTATCTTGGTGAAATATTAGATGCTTCTTATTCACCTTAATCTTTGGAAAACAAGAATCGAGTGGTGGATGGCCTTGAGGCTCCGGCGTGATCATATCCGAGAAGAAGGCAGTTTTTGTTGTGTTCTGTTTTGTTTTTCCACGATGACTTCTGCAGAGCCAAGTCAAGCTGAATTTTTTCAACCTTGAAAGTAAAATCCCATGGACGAACACTAACAGGCTTCTTCACTTAACAACCACACTTCTGTTTGAGCCCTATTTTGCTAGGGTGTCTTATCGATTCTCCTTCTTTTGAAGCAGAAAATGGTAGCTTGTTTTCATTTTTTTAAAAAGTTTACTTGATGACTGTTTTATCTCCAACTCTTCTGCCAAGTTTACCAGATTTCCCCATGATGTGATATATATCAAGAGAACATTGGAGAAACAATGCAAATATTCATTGACAAGTATTACAAGCAATGCAATATGTGGTGACTTAGTGTTTGAAGGGAGCATTGCTCAGCTAACCTGCTGTAGCCACAAACCGTCCAGGTAAGTCTTGGAAACGATGAGGAAAGATAGGCAGGTTCTGAAAAATCGCACACAGCATGACACCGTTTTGATAATGCTCTTAAAAGCAAGGAAAGCTAACAAGGACAAAAAAAAATTAAGCAACAGAATTAAATACATGAGAAAGTGTTTGTGTTCTTGCTTTTGAGTTAGCAAGAGGATTAATGATGGATATTCGTTTATTTGGATGGCATGAAGAGAAGTCATAAGGCTGTGAACTGTTCTTGGAAATGTGTTCATTCCTGGAGCAAGTGAGTGGTGGATTTATGAATTTCCATTTTATAATTATGCTTTTTAACTAGCACCTAGGTTATACATATTTTATGTGTATAAAAAAATCAAATAGGATAACAAATAGAGGAGAGCCTTATGAGAGAGATCATTCCAGTTGTCCAATATGAGTCTTCCAGAGTCCAAGCTGTTGGTGCAAACAACTCAGAAGCGTTAAAGAACCAGTGAAGTGTAAATGAAGATCTTAGACTTGTTGGGTACATTTGGAAGACTGGGCATTCCGTATGTCAGTGCAATTTTAGACAAAAACAGCTCATGAAGCAAAAATGTGAAAGAATTCACTTGATAGGTAGTCAGATTCCTTCATGGGGAGTGCATTATATAACCTGTTTGGCAATTTCCCCTGAGGTTAAACACACGCCTAACTTACGATCTGGCAGTCCTACCTCCAAAAGCAATGAAAGCGTCATCACAAAAATACCCGTGTGGCAATGTTTATGACCACTGTATTTATAATCACAAAACACTGGAAAAGACTCAAACGCACAGCAAAGCAAATCATGGCGGATTCCCCTCAAGGCACCGCTGCCTAGCCATGGAGCAAACTACTCATCCACGCAGACACACGGGCGGATCTCAGGAGCAAGAATGTGTAAACACCAGACACAAGGTGTATCACGTATGAGTGCGTTCCTGTGACGCTCAAGAACAGGCGAAACTGACCTGTGAGACAGAAATTGGAATCAGGGTTGCCCTTCCGTGGGTGGAGAAATGTGCTAGTGGGGTGGCTAGCAAGAGGCACAAAGAGCAGTCCAGGGTGCTGGCGATGTCCTACATCTTGGCTAGGGTGTGGCTGTGCTAGTCTGTGCATTTATCAAAGCACATCAAAGTGAAGATGGGTGTGCTTCGTTGTGTGTCATTCCGTCTGAATTTAAAATGTTTTCAGTGGGCACTATGTCATTCAGAAGTTTTGCAGCCGGTCTGAAAGAGGGGCCTCCCAGTGCTTCCTGTTTTTGCTGTCATGTGAGTTAGCAGATGTGGTTAGGAGATGTTAGACCCCAGGCTTGCTGCCTGCAGCTGATTCCACAGGTGAGAACAGCTTCTTAGGTGCATGTGCCTGGGGTCCCCCGAGAGGGGCTTTGGCTGTGGTGGGCACCAAGAGGTTGCCACAGAGCAACCAGGTGCAATGCTCTCATTGGTTCCAGTCCCCACAAAGCCACACACAACACCTGTTTATACCCAAGTGAGACAGTTTTCTGTTTCCCTGTGCACAAGGTGCTAAGTGCTACATCCCCCTAGGCTGCTTGAGGAGTGTGGAGGTTTCAGAGCCCATTTGCACAGAGACAGCCAGCATGATATCTTCCTGTGACTGCTTCCAGCTCCATGTTCAGTGAATCATCAGTCAGAGCCATTCCTCGAAAACGCAGGCTTGGGCACGGAGTGCCAGGCGCCTTTGGGACCTGCACAGAGACTGGAAGACTTCTGTACCTGCACCTACGCCCTGAGCATAGCCCCCTACAGACTGGCACGAGCCTCTCCCAGGTCTGAGGGTGGGCATGTGGTAATCTTGAACACAAACCTGGCCAGGAGTGCTGCACGGCTCCCTCGTTTTCACTTG